CCTGTGTGAGCCGCTCTGGGGGCCCGTGGCCAGGAGCACGCGGACTTGTGTCCACATGTGGGGAGACCTCCTGCGAGCCCTGACAACACAGGGAGCCTGGGGGAGGACAGCGCACGCGGCCGAGGGTGGAGGGGCACAGACAAGCACCACTCCCGCCAGGAAACGCCAACGCAAGCACAGCAAGTGTCACCGCCCGGCAGAAGGGCCGGCAGGAGCACCAGTGCCCGCCCTGCACACGGGACAGGGCCTGGACGGTGGTGCCACTGTGGGCGGCTGCCGGGAGGGTGGCCTGCACCACCTACAGCGCCTTCTAAAGCTGAACCGGCTGCCTGTGTCCTGGGCCACACCCAGGAGAAACAGTGCCCTTGCCACCAGCCCAGCAGAGCCGGGTGTGCCCGGTGGGAGAAACCCAGCGCCCGTCGGGAGGAAGGGCAGTGGGACAGTGGCAGCCACACGGATCGCCCCTCGGCAGACGGGCCTCCTTCAGGCGAAACGCAACAAAGGCCGAACTCCTCAGTGAGGCAGAGGCAGAGAGGCCGCCCCGGGCGGGAGGGGACAGTCCTGGACATGCAGGGCCTCTGGGAGCAGAAACGGCCCTAGCTCCGAGCGGGGAGGTGTGACACGTGGGCACAGACAGAACGCCCACCACTGTGCCCCTCACACTGTGGCTCCTCTGAAAACGCGTCTGGCTTAATTAGAGAAGAAAGGACCGCCTGGCCCTGGCCTCCGGGTGCCCAGGGCTGTGGGAGCCAAGCCGGCCCCGCTGGAGGCGGCCGTGTTACCTTCTTAGGCTCCTTGGGCTCTTTCTTGGCTGCTGGCACCGGGCTCTTCCCTGCAGGAGCGGGCGTCCGAGACGGAGGCTGCAGGGCCCCCAGGCTGGCACCCCCCCACGCTGGGGGGGCCTCGGAGTCCTGCGGCATCCTCGGGGAGCCCTGTCCAAGGCAACGCGGGAGCCGGTTCACCTGGGGCACCGCCCAGGAGCCCCAGAACGGATATCCCTGAGAGGCCGGAAAGCGAGAGCGAGGAGAGGAGAGGAGAGGGAAGGAGGCGGACAGGAAGGCAGCCCTGGAGCCCTGGGCCAACCTGAGAGCCAGCCCACAGAACAGGCTCATCAAGGGGCATCACGGGGACCGGAAGGCGGGCTCTGGGCTGGAAGAAACGGACTCCACGTGCCCCGAGTGTAAGGACTGGTCAGGGAGCCGTGGGCGTTTTAATGAAAAATGTCCCTGGTCAGAGTCTGTTTTCAATAGATAACTCTCATTTTTACTTTTCCAGGACAGAACGTCTTAATGGCAGAACACACAGTGCAGTTTCAATGACAGCGATTGCCTGCTGACGGTGTCCATGCTGAGCTGGGCACCCTAGAGAAGGTTCCAGAAAGTGGCTGTAGACAGCATTTGTCCCGCCCGCTGGGCATCAGAGTAAACAGGTGGTATTTACACCAAACAGGTCTGATAAGATGAGTCTGTTCCCAGGAACCCGGTGGGACTGCAGGGACCCCGTGCAGAGCAGGTGCAGGGCCGGGGGGCCGTAGGGGCCCCTAGAAAAGGTGCGGTGCAGTAACAGCGGCTGCCAGCGCTACTCCTCCTTCAAGCAGCGGCTCCCACACCAGTACATTCCCCTCCCGCGTGTTTCCTCCCAGGGCCTCTCCTTAGGAAGCACTCGGGAGGCCTTCTCCTATGTCAGCACTGGCAAGGGAAGCCCCAGGACCCCGCCCTCGTCCACAGGGAGGTGGAGGAGCCAGTACCGCATTCTCAGACTTGCCACCCAGATCCTCTTCTCTTCGCTCCGCCAGCGAGCCTCTCCCGCGGGGGTCCTGGGGCAGCGCTCCTGTCAACGGCAGAGAGGGCCTCTGTGACCTCGGAGCCGCCAGGCACAGGACAGGGAGCCGGCACGGAGGGGGCATGTGAAGGCCGCGCCCTCTCCGTGCCCCATGAGCACCAGGCCTGAGTGCCCTGACTGCAGGCTCCTCCCTCACCCGCTCGCGGGACAGGAGGCCCATTCAGCTCTGCTCCGAGGCGACACCTTGCAGACCCACCTGGGTCCTGGGCCCGGAGCAGGTGTGCGCTCTCCTGCAGAGACGGTGCGCTGGGTGGCAGGCCAGGCCCTGGGTACCGGGCCGCGGGGTCTGGCCCAGAGGGCTCTGCAAAGCCAGGCACTGGCTCCCCATGGCCCGGGGGCGGCACAGGGAACATGGGCACCCCGGCAGGGACGGCGGGCAGGCCCTCAGGGAGCGTCGGCGGAGCTGCATGATGGGGACATGGAGAAGAGTCAAAGGTGCCAAGGCCACATCTGTCCTGTCCCTGCAGCTGCTCGGTGCGATCAGTTGTGGTGCGGTATTGGCACGGCCGGCTCCTCCCTGAGAGACAGGAAGGCCTGCCACCCAGCAGGACACGCCGAGATGGCATCACGGCTGGAGCAGTGAACAGACACCTGCCAGCGCTGAGGGGAGGCACCGTGAGCGGCAGGACCCACCCTTTGTTTCTGGGGCTCAGACCGGCCACCCACCTGCCCCCGGGCATCCAATGCCACGGGACCTGCTGAGCTCGGCAAGGTTATGAATAAGCACGGAGGAGGAGGGGCAGGCTGTGGGCCTTTTCCCAGGCACAGTCTCTGCGTGACAAACTCCTAGGCCCGTGGTCGGCAAACTGCGGCTCCCGAGCCACCTGCGGCTCTTTGGCCCCTTGAGTGTGGCTCTTCCTAAGCCTTAGGAGTTCCCTAATTAAGTTAATAACAGTGTACCTGCCTATATAGTTTATGTTTAAAAAATTTGGCTCTCAAAAGAAATTTCAATCGTTGTAGGAGCTGTCCCGCCTCATCCCCGAGAGGCCCTCCCACACACCCGCACGCCTTCCGTCCTGTCCACGCCCAATGCCACAGGTGGAAACCAGCCACAAGAAGTGCCAGCCGCGACGAAGCCACGCTCACCTTGACCTGCCGTTCCACACGCTGCAGCTGCACCAGCCAGGCAGGCTCCACAAAGGACTCCTCCTCCGGCCTCTCTCTCAGCTGCGGGTCGAAGAGGCGTAACTGGGAGGCGATCTGGAGACACACGAGAAGGCAGGCCCGTTACCACCAGTGTCTTCACAGCCGCTCCGACCTGGAGCAGACGCACCCAGGGCCGAGCGGGCCTCTGCAGCAGGCCTCCCACTCAGTGGGGACGCCACGCCCACAGGAGCCGACCTCGGGGTGGCTGCATGGGGTCCGCAGGGCCCAGACCCCAGAGCTGAACTTCCTGCTGCCGCCACCTGACGACAGACTGGACTTGGCCACGCCAAGTGAGGAACTGACGTAGACACACATGTACTCTGATTGGGTGGGGAGGTGGGCTGGGGGATGGGGGGAGCTGGGGGACCCATGGGCAGGACCAGATGAGGCAAGCTTGGCCTCAAACTGCCCGAAAGCCTCCATAATAAAACCTTCCTAGGTGCCACGTGAGCACATTCTCCGGGAGGGGGACACGCTGTGGCGCTGGCTGGGCGCTGTCCCATCCTGTCTAGGGTCCATAGTTCTGAGGCCAGTCACGCTGCCTCACTGCCCAGGGCGGGGAAACCAGGCCGCAGTGGGTCAGCAGGACCCAAACCCAGGCTGTCGGACCCGCAGGCTCCACTAACGGCAGGACCGACCTCTGCTCTGGCCTTGGAGCTCCCGGCGCAGTCTCTGCACGGGAGTGAGATGGACGGACTCGGACACTAACGTGCCAGACGCCAGCAGCTGCCCGGGAGCATCTCAGTGTGTGACTCGTCCCGACCTCTCCCCCCGAGTCTGGCGCCCTGACCCTAGGCTGGCGGGGGCGGCTCAGGACCACACCTGGACCAGCTGGCTGATGAGCACGGGGGAGTGCCTGTGCGGCTGCAGCAGGATGCCCTTGGCGATGACCTCGCAGTAGTGGAAGGCCTGTGTGGCCAGCCCCATGTCGGCCAGGCGGCAGGAGTAGATGAACTTGAACACCTGGAGCAAACACACACACAAGCTCAGGCCCCGCGGCTCCTCCCGTCTGCAGCCGCCCCACAGCCCCGCAGCTGAGAACTGTCCTGGACAGTTTGGGTGCCCGCCCCCCGCAGCTCATCCTGCTCCTGGAGACGGCTCAGAGCACAGGACACTGCGAGCTTCGGCAGCACAGTCCTTCTCTGCAGCCCTCAGAGCTGCCAGGTCCAAGCAGAGGCCGCAGTTCACAGCGGCAGCACAGCCCCCGCCCCACGCGGACTGTCCCACAGCCAGTCTCCTCGCTCAGGGTCATGCAAGTGATACACACACATGCACACACACGCTCAGACACTCTCACACACTCACTCCTGGGTCAGGTAACACTCCTCATCACGCTAAAAATAGCCGATAGAAACAAAACACTCGAGATTTATAAGATTTTAAATATTAAGACCCAAAATACAAACAAAATCCTCAATTCAACAGGGTTTATTCTCAAACATTACCGATCAACGTCGCCCCAAGATTTCCAAAAACACTGCCTTTTGCGTGGCAATTTTCCACCCCACAGCCCGAAGCCTCACCAGCCCCATGGGCGGAGCTCACCTGAAAGGTGGGCCTGGGGCTGGACTGTGTGCCCAGCCTGTGGGTGGGGCTCACCTGAAAGGTGGGCCTGGGGCCGGACTGCGTGCCCAGCCTGTGGGCGGGGCTCACCTGGAAGTTGGGCATGGGGCTGGACTGCGTGCCCAGCGACTGCGCGTACTCATAGGCCTCTGTCCTCTGGATGGCTTCATTGGTCGCAAACTTTGAAAATGGCAAACTGTTGAGGAAAGGAGTGAACTTATTTGAGCCAGCCCCCCAGCAGCATGTCATGCCACACGGCCAAGCTGCAAGGCCACCTCCCGGCTCCGTTCTGGGTTAACAGGAGGGAGGGGCGGGGAGTGGCACACAGTTATGCAACTGCTCACCTGTGGTTCGATCCAATTAAGACGAGTTTTGTGGTTTTCTTGGTATAAACCCCAAATCCAACTTCAGCCATGAGGTAGCAGAAGTGTGCAGCGTCCAAGAGGCCTTTCGAGGCTGAGGAGACACAGGGGCCACGTCTCGGTCGGGGGGTTCTCCCGAAATCAAAGATGGTGAACAGCCAGTGGCAGCGATGCCAGAGGCACGGAGTCCTGTCCCTTCCACCCGACACGCTGCACGCAGTCTCCGTGCCCCAGGCCCACGGCCTCCCGTCTGCACGGACCCACCTAGCGTGTCGCCCATCGTGGCCATCGTCCTGGACTCCACATCCATGTTGTTGTTCAAGTTGGACAGAACCATGGCAAGGTGCGGCCTCCAGTCTCCCCACTTCTCATCGCCGCAGCACTAGGTACGGAAAGCCAGCGGGACACTCCTTACCCTGGGTGACCCCGGGCCAAGTGTCACCAGCCTGCAGGGTCGGGCTCCGGGAGCGAGGGGCAGGGCAGAAAGGAAGGCAGCCTCATCCTGCGATGAAACCACCGGAGCAGTCCCCACGCACGCGCTGCGAGAGTCACGGGAGCGCCACTGACCGTAGACGCTGCAGGCATCCGCCCGGACATCAGCTGGTAGACGGTCTGCAGAGGGTCGTTGATGGGAAGACTGTTGGCGAATCTGGGGAGACACGAGAGGAAGCTGACCTGGCCCAGCTCCCCACACGACTGGCCCGTCTCAGCCCCTCAACCATCAGCCCGATGCCTCCCGCCCCTCAGCGCACACGCAGCTCAGTGTTAAAGGCCCGAGAGAGAGACAAGGCGCTCAGCGATCTGACAGAGCTCAGCACCGAGCAGTGCACAGGACGCGGCCCCGCAGCGCAGGGGAGGCCCCGCATTCTCTGCGAGAGCCAGACCCTGTGCCTCGAAGAGCTGCCAAGGCGCGGCTGCCGGACCAGCTGGCTGCGCCCAGAAGCCGCCAGCCCAGTGAGTCTGTACCTGGTCATGACTCTGGCGTGTGTCCGGCTGTCCATCTTGCTGGCAAGCAGCAGAGCGTGACCCCACAGGCCGTTCTTCATCGCGGCCTCCAGAGCATCCTGCAAAGCAGCGCAGTGAGCCGGGGTGGCAGTGACTCACGAGGTGCGAGTCACGCGCCGGGGAGCGTGTCGTCCGCGTGGCCGGGAAACAGGAAAGGGCTCGACTGTGGGGCGACACACTTGCCTCCACGGCCCCAGAACACACCTGTGCCACGGCCGCCCCCATCACAGTGCCTGTGGCCGTGGGTCCTGCTTCTACAAACTGTTACAAGCAGCCCTGGCCGGGCTGCTCGGTGGTTAGAGCGCCATCCCGACACACCAAGGTCAGGGCACATGAACAAGGGGAACAACAAGTCAAGGTCCTGCTTCTCTCCTCTCCGCAACATCAATACGTTAAAAACTTATTTTTAATAACTAGCACAAGCAGGCCAGTAGACACGGGATGCCGGGAGGCAGCGCTGCCACCCTCAAAGGTCCTTCCCACTGGGCCACTGTGCACGTCACTCCCAGGGCGATGATGCCTCTCCACGTGGGCAGCGCGTCCCCTTGGCCAAGTGACCCGGTATTTCAGAGAACTTCTGACCGTGACCTGAGCTTATCACGACATACAAGCACCAAGGACTTGGGGCTGTCAGACCCCTGCCACCGGGCCACGCAGAGCTGGGCATGTGCCCACAGCCCACAGGGACCCCTCCACCCTAGACCCGCCCTCCACTGGGCACAACCAGAGAGAACGTCCACAGCGCCAGCACCTGTGCGAGGCCCGCAGCCTCTGCACGCACCGTGCCTGACCCATTCCCGCTGGGCACCGCTCCCCGACACCCAGCACACCTCAGAGGCCGAGCGCACCCCTAGCTGTGACAACGGGCTGTGTGTCTGTCTCGTGCACGTGCTCACCCCACAGCACTGCACGGGCGGGCACAGCCCGAGCGCGACTGCGTGCACTTGTGCGGGAGTGAGGAGGGAAACTGAGGCTTCAACGCTGGCAACGTGTGAGGAGACGGTGTGACACCTTCAGAGGCGAAGGGCCAGACACCTGTTCACCGGGTGGCCGTCAAGGCCCGGTGCCCTCCCGGCAGGCCTGTCCCTCCCACAGCTTCCTGGCACTTAAGCCCACGCGGCGGACGCCAGGACACGCCCCGGTGCCCGAGAGCTCGGAACTCGCCTTCTTGCGGCCATAGAGCAGCAGCTCCCGGAACCGCTCCGTCTCCTTCTCCAGAGAGCTGGTGGCGGCCTGGCTGTCGGTGAGGAAGGAGAGCTGGGCCTCCACCGACTCCTCCTCCTCCTCGGCCTGACCCACGGCCTCGTTGGTGAAGTCGATCAGGTTGGCCTCGTTGGGTGACTTCCCAGGAAGCCACACCGTCCTGTGGTCTTGTAACAACAGCTCGGCAATGTCTGTGCCCACCACGGTCTGCAGGGCGGCGGGGACAGAAAGAACAAGGCCTTCACGACGGCTAGGGCTTCCCACAGGCCCTGCTGGGGGAGGCCGCCAACAGGCCGCCCAGTGCACACCGCCACCCCCACATGCCCAGGAGCCCGACAGACCAACGTGGGGGCCCGAACCTGCCCTCGCCCCAGCTGCACACCCCGCTTGTCTCCCCTGCCCCACGTCACTGCTGAGACGGCTCCGCGTGCTCGGCCCAGCACAGGAATCCTCCCCACACCGTGGGGACCCAGGATCCCTGAGACTCCAGGCCAAAAAGAGGCGTTTTACAGGTCAGACGCCACGTACCCCGTTCTGTCTGCACAGCAGGATGATGAAGCTCCAGAGGAGGTTTGCGGACTCTTTGTCAAGCAAGCTCTCATTCTGCAAACACTGGGTGGCTTTGCTCTGCGCAAAGTTAATGACGTCCACCTTATGGGTGTCGTCTCTGAAAGAAGGACAGCCCTCAGTGGACAGCGATGAGCGCCGCGGCCCAGCCACGCTCACGCAGTGCCCACAGCGGCCCGTGCCCGGAGGGACCTACTTGCCCAGCGGCCCCGGGAAGGCGCGCATCTCCTCCTGCTCCGGCAGGTGCTGTAGCAGCGTCTGTGGACAGGGAGGGGCAGCTCAGGGCAGGCTCCGCCACTGCCCCCCGTGTCTGCTGACCCGAGGGCGGTCTGTCCCATCGGGGAGGCCGAGGGCTCCACCAGGGGATTGGCCGTGTCTGGTTGGCAACAATGACTTTCAACCTTTAAAGCGGTGAGACCCTTCCCCCGAACTCTGAGCCAATACATGTGATAGAGGCTGGTGGGCCGCAAAACAGTGCCCACCACAGGCTCCCAGGGCACCCCAGCCCCCACTGGCCACCTCCCTACTTGTCATTGAAATCACCAGTACTGAACACCAACAGGCCCTCCCCTCAAAATCAGAAACGCAAACAAAGATAAAAGACGCACAACCACACAGAACAAATAAAACCCCCTCCACCGAGGGTCCACGGAGGAAACACTCTGCACGACCGTTTTCAGACAAGGCTGAGGCACGGCCTGTGGGCCCACGGCCGCCCCCGGCCTCACCTCCATGCTGTGCACTTCCACCAGGGCCGGCTGTCCCTCCGAGGGCAGATTGGGGATCACGCGGATGAGCTGACCCCCAGGACCAAACCGGGCACAGACATGGGGCACGGAGAACTTCTCCGGGGAAGTGGGTCTCGACGGAGCTGCAGGGAGGACGTGAACAGGACACAGCCGGGGGTCAGCTCTGGGGCCTCGGGGCCAGACCACAGCTCGATGTCAAGGTGCCCACAGGCTGAGGCCCCACATGCACCGACTTTCAGCTGGAAGTCACTAGTGGCTACGGGCGCCGTTAAAGTAGAACTCCAGCGCGGCTTAGGAAATGTCTAAATCCTTAGAAACGAAACCATCTCCTCAAACCTAAAAGCTCTTGAACACCGCCGGAAGCGCCTGTCACAGGAAGCAGCACCCGGGACCTTTCGTGCCTGAGCCTTTGTCCTCAACGGCGGGGCCGTGCCCGCACCCCGTGAAGGCAAGGAGGGCCGCTGCCCAGCCTGGCGGCTCAGGTCCAGCACATCCTGTGCACTGAAAGGTCACAGGTTCAAGCCCCGGGCATTTTCGGGTTTGGTCCCCAGGAGGGGCGTATGCGGGGGGCGGGGGAGAGGGCGGCAACCAACGGGTGCCATTGCTGTTCCTCTCCCATCGCTGCGTCTCTCCCTTCCTCACCTCGCGTCCTCGGGTGAGGATTGCAATTGAAATACTATCTCAAGAGCGTCATCTGTTTTTCCAGTTTCCAAGACTCAGCAGTAACAGGCCTTCCCGAGGACTGAGCGTGGCAGTGGGAAAGCCGAGGGCAGCTTTTTTAGGGGAATCGGAGTCCCCCCACAGGCTGCTGACCGCGTGGTCAGCATGGGAAGAGGGGGCCCCACCCGAGAGCCTGGCGGTGAGCCGCGCGGAGTCACACGAGTGCTCGTGACAGAGGCAGGGCAGCTCTCCGGCCTGTGAGTCCAGCTACAGCCGAGGGTGCTGCCAGCCCAGCGGGACCAGCCTGGCCCTCAGGACGGGTGTGCTGTGACACAGCTGTCCCTACTCCGGGGAGGCCCGGGCCAGGCCATCACAAATGCCCTCAGTCACAACTCACTCCCATTTCTCGCCCCAGGCTTGTGAGGCGACCGAGGGGTGGCCTGGCGCCCGCACCTGAGGGCACCCAGGGCCTTGACCACACACACCTTGCTCCACAGCGGGCCAGCCGGCGTCGGCAGGGTAGCCGTACTCTGGGAAGCCCTGGGTGCTGCTGAAGTTGCTCATGTAGGCATCGTAGGCATAGTCCCCGTGGAAGGAGCCTGGTGGCGGCGGGGCCTCATACGGCCCCACGGTCACATTGCAGCTTCTGTAAACCTGGCTCTTAGGAAACACAAAGCCGGCAGGTCGTTAGCTCACAGGAGTGCCAGCCAGAGCAGGGGGACCTGGGTCTACACAGAGCTGTGGACCCTGCCTGCCGCCCCACGCGGGCCCGCGCGCACCTGCTGCGAGTGGGCGCTGAAGCTGCTGTGGCGGCAAACACGCTGCGCCGGTCCACGTCGTCCCCGTAGGGGTCTCTGTGGGGCTCAGGGTCGTCATCAAAACTCCCTGTGAAGCGAGGGTCGTACCTCCAGGGGTCGTCGTACCTCTCGGGCCTGGAGGGCCAGTGGGGCAGAGGCAAGAGAGGGCACTGAAGCCGCTGGCATGACGCACTGCTGCTCAACACTCAGGCCCTACGGGTCCTCAGTGCCCGCTGCCCTCACATCATGACGGGGCCTGCCTCGCAGGACACGGTACGAGCCCGCCCCCGAGGGGATGCCTGGAACCCAGGGGCAAGGTCAGCTCGGGTGAAGGTTCAGGGGAGCAGGCTGCAAGGTCACAGCCACCGAGGAGACAAGGGCAAGGCGGCCCCAGGTGCTTGTGCTGCGCCCACAGTGAGAGACGCCAGCGGCCCAGTCTGCCCGCCCCTTTCAGACAGTGGCCGTGACGCCAGCGGCTCCCGGGACCCCCAGCCGCAGCTGGTGGGGCGTCACAAAGCGCAGCTGATTCCCATCCCCCTTGGCGAAGGGCTTCTCACCCACCTGTCAGCATAGGTGTAGCTGTCTTTCCTGTACGGCTCGTATTCCGCGTCGTACCAATACCTGCGGTCATAGGGGCGGGGATCCCTGAACCCGGACCCATAGGGGTACCGATCCCAGCGGCCCGGATCTGCAAGCAAGGGATTAACGAGCTGATACAACACGCGCGAGAGACGCTGCGCCCCAGCACCGAGGAGCCTCACTGTCTCCCGAGAGGCATGGCCCTGGGTGCTGAGATGCCGGAGGCCCGCGGAGTCCTGTCCGTGTGACACCAGTGGCCGCTGGCTTGTCCTCCCAACACACGATTCAGAAGAGAAACCTGCTGCGTGACATCTGGTTAAATTCCTGCCCAGTTACTACTTTTGAACAGTTCATCCTGTAACTGCACGCTTTACTCCCATCTCTGCCGACGTGGCCTAGGAAGGGGGAGGAACCCTCAGAACCAAAGGGCTGCTTGAACAGGGCCGGTCCCATCCGAGCCGCCAGTGTGTTCCGTGGCAGGGAGGCAGAGGCCTGTGAGCAGGGCGGGCGGGAGGGCTGTGTTGGGTAAGCGAGGGCTGCCGGCCTGGACCCTCTGCACCAAGCAGGACACAGCTTGGCAGAGGGAGGAGCAGGGCTCAGGGACACGTGGCCAAGAGGCCCCCCTCCCCTGACAGCGAGGGGACACGTCTGCACCTCCAGTGCCAGAGCCACAGCCCCACGGCCACAGAGCAGGGCAGACGCACTAGCCCAGGGGCGGCTCATGTTCCTCTGATCAATGTGAACGGTCGCAGGGACGGGAAAGGCGGCCCCGGGCCCCTGGCACTGTTCTCGGAAGTCAGAGAACTGCACATGTGAGCCAGACACATGCGTGCTGTGACCACGATGCAGCTTCTGGAGGAGAAGCAGCCACAGAACCACTTCCCGAAGCAGGTGACGTGGCTCTGGGACGAAGACAGGACTCACAGCGGGGACTCCGCCTAAGGCCCGGGGCGTGTCCCAGGCTGACGTACCTCCGTAGTCGTACTGGCCGCCGTAGTAGCTGGCGTAATCGCTCTGGCTGCTCCATCCACGCTTGGAACTGTAGTAGCCCTCAGGAGGCCCCTGCCTGAAACCACACAGGGATTACCAACAAGCCCCCTGCTCCTGAAAAGCGCGACAGGCATCGGCCTACAGGCTGCACCCAGGGCCGTGGAGAGTCCTACTCAGAAGACCCAGAGCCAGGAGCGTAAGGGAGTCCCTGCGCCCAGCGCACTGAAGTGCCTCTATGATAACAACCACACGAGCGCCCAGCACAGGTCGTGGCGTTCTCAGTGCCGTCGCCGGAGCAGGGCCGGGACCGGCTCTCGGGTGTGGATGTCAGACTCAGCCAATGCCAAGGTGCCGGGGTGTGGAGGGGAGTCGGATCCGACTTCCAGACCCGCTGCACAGACCGTGCCCGTGTCCTCCGGGCGGGTCCCAGTGCGCCCAGCCTGGTGCCCTCAGAGCAGACCAGCGTGGGCCCTGCCGTGCACCGGCCAGGCCGGCCTCACAGAGCAAGCCTGGCTGTGACCTGCATTATAGAAAGGGTGGGATTTAGCAGGAAGGTCAGGTATCTGACCTGCTGAAGGGGCTTAATGACATTTTTGTTCTTTAACAGCAAGTTTTAGGTAATGCTTCATTTTTTTAAGAAATATATTTTTATTGATTTCCAAGACGAAGGGAGAGGGGGAGAGAGAAACATCAATGAGAGAATCACTGACTGGCTGCCTCTTGCTCGCCCTCTACTGGAATTGAGCCCGCAACCTGGGCTTGTGCCCTTGACCGGAACTGGACCTGGGACCCTTCAGCCCCCAGGCTGGGGTTCTACCCACTGAGCAACACCAGCAAGGGCTGTAATAATTGATTTTTAAAAGACTTCGCTCGTGTCTCACTCAGCTGAGCCTGGGGCTTGGTGGGCGCAGCCCTGGGGAAGGAGTGCAGGACCTCAGCCCAGCACCCGCGCTCACTGCCCCAGGGTGAGAGCACCCATCCACGCATGGGGGAGGGGGGTCTCCGAAAAATGACCTGATGCAGCACAAAACCAGGAACACACACCTCCTCGCCCCCACGAACCCCGCATTCGTGGGAAAGACAATCACAGAAACAGGCCACATCACCTTGAGCAGCGCCCACAGGGATGTGATCCCAGAGGCACAACGAAGACGAACTGATGCTACCCACCACGTGGGAACACGCACGCACCCCAACCGCAGCAGGGCCAAGGAGGCTGCTCCCCAGCGCTGCCAGAGCGGTGCGGACGTGGCAGACGGGGACGCACCTCCCACGTCACCGCCCGCCTTGTTGGCGCCTCTCCACACCGAGCAGCTCTGGCCTCTGAAATGTCGCCACATGAATCTGCAGGTGGGCGAGTGAAGGGAAACCGGAACAGCCAGATGCACCCTGGCTCCACCCGCCTCCCGACCCCTGGCCTCCAGGGGTTCTAGAAAACACCGGCCCACGGCTCTCGCCAAGTCAGAACACTGCCCAGGCGGCAGGGTGGTCCCCAGGCGCTACGACATGAGCACCTGGCCCGCTGGGCCACACGCAGGTCAGTGCGCCCTCTGCGGGCCTGGACAGAGGACAGCTGATGGCACAGACTCACAGACCAGCTACCAGACGTCGAGGGGCCAGAGTAAGGAGCCCACGGTTCTGAAAGGCAGTGCGCGAACCAAGCCTGCGCCAGCAGCCACACCTCTCTGTCCCACGTTTAAGGAACCACGTGCCCTCGTAGCACCGACAGCTGTGAGGCATTACTTCGCCAGGTGAAGGCTTTGGGAGGCGGCAGAGCTGGAACCCTGACAGCCGCCTCCCTCGTCCCGCCCCCACAGCCACTGAGCGGAGGCCTCTGAGCTCCAGTTCTCACGCGGCTGGAGGTGCGGCCCGGGGCTCTTTCAACATGCTTGTCTGTAATCGCAAAATCCAGCCAGGGTGCGCCCGCAAGAGAAGCCGGCCGGAGCACCGGCACAGAGGCTGCTGGGAAAGCACCGAGGCCCAGGCCTGCCTGGCATCAGCACCGTGGACTCTGGCCCGTGGGGGGGACCAGTCCGCAAGGTAAAAGCTGCCACAGTCTAGGACCCTGAGCATTCCGTCAGCGAGCCTCCACAACGCACGCCCCCAGTGATGACCGCCGCCTGGGCTGGGGGAACCCTGCCCGAGGACAGGGGTGCCTCCGGGGCCCCGCCCTGGGTCTGGCTGACGCGTGGCCATGGCTGCATGGGGTGTGCTGACCTCCATGTAAACACGCCTCCTGCAGCCTGTCCACATGGGCAAAATGGCAACCAGCAGGGTGTACACTCCTCACACAGTCTCTCCACATCAGGACATCACTACAGCCAGCAACACAAACATCACCTGGCAGATGGCCGGTCTGAGCAGTGGCTCGCCCGGGAGCTGGGCCGCTCCGGCTCGGGGTAGCGGTAGTTCTCAGCGTAGGTGGACGCCGCGCCATCGTAGGGCCTGTACCTGGGATCGTACAGGCCGTAGATGTCCTGTGGGAAGACAGGTTTATGCAGCATCAGGCCCCCAGGAGCAGGCACCAGCTCCAGGCTGCACGGGTGGCTCTCCCAGGGGCGCGGGACATGGGACCTTCCCCGAGTAAAAGAGAAAACCTCCAGGATGACGGCCCCAGGCAGGCAGCGCTGCCCTCCAGCCCCAGCCTGGCCTGCCCAGGGGAGGCCAGCACGCAGCAGGCACCCCGGAGCCATGGCAACTCGTGAGGGCTGTTAGGCTTCTGCCTCCTGAGGTCTCAAATGTGGAGGTGCCGGGACTCACGCTGTGCCCTGCCCCAGACACCATCCCAGGTAAGCAAGCCAAGGACCCAGGGCTCCATCTGCCTGGTCCTGAAGCTACAGGCAGCCCAGGGGGAGGGTACTTGGTTCTTAGAGGCATCCAGCCTCTTACAAATCATCGATCGCCACGGCTCCGCCTCTAAGGGGCAGCCATGTGAGGACCTGAAGCAGAATCAGTTCATGTCTGAGAGCCCGACTCTCTGCCACTCCCTGGCACACACTCCTTGGCTGGTGCTGGGAGCTGGGGCGGCGGAGAGGAAGGCAGAGGGCGCCGGCCCCCAGGAGCGGTGCCGCCAGGCGAAATTCAGGGCGCTGCGCAGCGCCCACAAAGGACCTGGAGCGGCGTGGTGCTCCCTGGGCCTCCCGGGCTCCCAGCAGAGCTCAACTCCCTGCTATGGGAGTCAAGTCCTTGGGAACCTACACTCGCAGGTGTCAGTGGTCAGAGGTGTAGCCAACCACTCACACTCACACACACACACACACACACACACACATGCTGAGGGGCCCACAACAGGGCACAGTCTCCCATCAGCCGACCCGGCCCAGCCCTGACCCAACCTCTTTGAACACAAGGTCCCCAGCTCAGAGATCGGCCCTTGCCCCTGCTCTGCCTGCAGCGAGTCCGTGCTTTCAACCTCGCTGGCCCACCATCCTGCGCCTCGGCTGACCTTGGAGGACCCCAGGCCTGGACTAGAGGTGAGGAAAGCCAGGTAATAAGGAAACGTGTCCACCTGGAATCCCCTTTTCCAGTGAAGGCAGGACTCAGCAGAACCTGAGGTAACCACACTGGGAGCTGCCGCACCGTCGCTGTGAGGCCCTGTGTGCCGCCTCCACAGGCCTGGGAGGAGCGGATGGA